GCAACTTGCGGGTTGCCAAGAGATTTTTGATAGTTTTTTTTTACAAAACTACAAAGAAGAATCCTACATTTCGAACTCGAATATAGTTGCCAATTGCTTCTCTGCAAGTAAATACTTATTTTAATTCTTTTTTACAATAAACAAATTGAATTGAGTAACTAATTGATTAAGTGCTTCGCGCCTTTATACATACAAAATAGCTGGAACATTAAGATTTTATCTAACAAAATAGCTAAAAACAAAATGCCAATGAAATTAAACAGCAAGGCAATAAGTAGAATTGTATAATTAATAAAAAAAATATTAAAAAAAAAACAACTAATACTTCAACAATCTAAATATTTATAGTAAAAAGTAAAAACTATTTTTAGGAATGTTTTCTATTTAAAATTTTTTTCACACCCGTCTTAATTGTTTACAAAAAAGCGCACACTTTCCGAGTGTGAAATGGAAATAAATCTATTAGTTACTAAAAAAAAGAGAGATTAAGGGAGAAGAAAGAAATGGAAAAATATAGAGACATAAAAAAATTTCAGCAACCTGTCGATGCTGTCATGTATTCGTAACAAATTAATTTTTAACGGCAATAAAAAAATATATTAGCATTAGTAATAATTACTGGAGCCCTTCCCACGCGAAGCAGCGGTAAACTCAATAGAAATTTAAAAGAAAACAAATATTTTGTGTAAATAACGTGATGAAATAATAAACTTTTAGCAAAACGTGGCACGAAAGTCAAACAGTCATTGGAGATAAATATTATTATTACAACAATGTTGTCCAAAAAAAAACAAAAAAATTTACTAGGCGGGGCATTGGCCGACAAACTAAAATAAAAATATATATAATTTATGTGAGGTTGGTAAAAAGTAATCCATTATTTTTATAAAAGACGGCCTTAGTGATCTGTATACACTATTTTTTAAGTGTAATTGGGCAGCAATCATCCATCGACCAAACTCTTAATTCGGACCTCTACTGTACGCAAATGCATTGTCTGAAGGAAACAATCGGTCTAAAGCACACAGCTTGGTCAACAGTAGGGAAATTGTCATCGATAGTGACTCGCCTGAAGCTCAAAAAACTTGGTTAGGAAGTTCTTATGTATCGAACTTATAGACCTAACCTCTCACCAACTAATTACCATCGGTTTCTGTTTTTGACCAAAGATTTAGTTGTGGAAGAATTCACGTCTAGGGAGGCCGATGGAAACCGGTTGCTTCAATTATTTGCCAATAAAGACAAGGCTTTCTAAGAGAGAGACATAATGGCCTTACCTTCAAAATCGAATATAAACATAAATTCGAATTATGGTAAAGTAAAAAAAGCCTCAAATTTAAAGCAAAAATTATGTATTACATTTTACTAGACTACTATATTTTAAAATATATTTTTGTGCTATATTATTTTATTTACTTTTATTTTACTTAATTTTATTTTTTTATTTTATTTTTTTTTGATATTTTGATATATATTTTCTCACCTACAATTCTTAAGGCAAATCCATTCATGCATCAGTTTGCTGGCGGAAATTACCCGAGAAATTTGATTTTGATAAATAAAAAAAAAATCTTCTGAAGTATAGAAATTAGATTTATTTATTTTAAACTAACAAAAGAGCGCTTTGTTTTCGTAAAAAAAAATCAAAAAGAAAAAAAACAGAAAATAAAAATGAAAGAAATAAAAAAAAACAAATAAACACATCTCGTATTGAGAAAAACAACAAAGCACACCTACACGTGGCTAAAATGGCTAAATATAAAATAACTAAAACAACTAACAGAACTGAACATTTCACATATGAGTATATGACCACAGGCCACGAATAACTAAATGACAGCTGGAGACACAAAAATTTATTCAAATCAAACATACATAATAATATATATATAGCAATAATATAAAATGCACTAAATATGCTCTGGGGATTAAAAATTTTTTTTGGGTGAAATAAATTAAAAACCAAAACTAAATCGAAATCAAAAAAATAATATAATTCAAAATATTTTAAATATTAAAAAAAAGAAAATGTAGTCTCGTAAAAAAAATTATTTTCTGCCCAACTCAATGTCTAAAAAACAAAAAACTTATTATTTAATAAAAAATATAAAAGATTATATGAATTTATGGCTGAATTAAATTAAAAAATTGGAAATTTAAATTCCATAAAAAATAAAAAGTTTTCTTAATCAAAAAAAACTTATACTTTTTTGGATAAGTTTCGACGTTTGCACGTAAAGATTTTTTAATTTAAAAAGGATTCTATTATTGAATTAATAATTGATATTTTTTTCATTTTATTAAAAAAAAAATTACGAAAAAATTAGTTATTCATTAAATATTAAATTAAGTTGTGTGTAAATAAAACAAAATTAATAATAATTATTCGCTCTGTTCTCGAAAGATTGCACCACCTGCAAGTTGTGGCCGATCTTGGATGCGATTACCTATTTCATTGGCATGGTCCCACATTTGTCAACAGTACTTAGTTTGCATCAGCGACTGCTTCTGGCCACAGCATCATTTTTTGTGTTAAACAAATAGCATTTGTGGAAAGTTGATGTTGTTATTTTTTAATTGGAAGAAAAGCTCTGCCAAAGCTCAATGGCGTTCTGGCCAACCCCAAAAGCTGCTTCAAAATCCGTGCCAAACACAAACGGAGCTTGCAGAATCATAGAGAGTGAAAACCGTAAACAATTTCCGTTCGGTTAAAGCAATTCGGATTTGTTCAAAGGCAAGGAAAAAAATTAATTAGTTAATGAATAAAATTCCCAAAAATAATTATTTAATAAAATTTATGCCAATCTGATGTAATTTGAATATCGAAACGACTCGTACTTTTATTCAATGGATCTTCCCTTCCACTACTTCATATGTGGGGAATATTTTGCAGTAGCAGCAAATATAGCAATTCTAAAATTGTTTTGGTTGCTTTAAAATCAAAGGATATCGAGATCCCGTGAAGAAAAAAAACTAAAACTCACGGGCTGACTTCTTGTTTGGTTCTCAATGAGCTCCTGGTAATCATGGTCTTTCTCTTTAATTAAGGATACAAAAAAAGTGAATGGGCGATAAGACTTTCTAAAGTAACTAGAGCTCCATAAATATTACTAATCCCGGCACTCATTTCCTCTATCTATCTCCTTCCCTCACCCTCGCTCTTTATCCCCCTCTCTCTTTCTCTTTCTTTCTATCTCTCTTTTTCTGTCTATATTTCTTTTCTCTCTCTCTTTTTTTCTCTCTCTTTCTTTCTCTCTCTCTCTTTCTTTCTCTCTCTCTTCTTTATCACTCTCATTCTTTATCTCTCTCTTTCTTTATCTCTCTCTTTCTTTATCTCTCTCTTTCTTTATCTCTCTCTTTCTTTATCTCTCTCTTTCTTTATCTCTCTCTTTATTTTTCTCTTTCTTTCTTTTTCTTCTTCTTTCTTTCTTTTTCTTCTTCTTTCTTTCTTTTTCTCTTTATTTTTTTCTTTACCTCTTTCTTTCTTTATTTCTTTCTTTATCTCTTTCTTTCTTTATCTCTCTCCCTTTCTCTTTCCTTTTTCTCTCTCTCTCTATCCCTTTCCCTTTCCCTTTCTCTCTCTCTCTCCCTTTCCCTTTCTCTCTCTCCCTTTCCCTTTCTCTCTCTCCCTTTCTCATTCTCTCTCTCCCTTTCCCATTCTCTCTTTCCCCCTTTCTATTTCTCTCTCTCTCCCTTTCTATTTCTCTCTCTCACTCCCTTTCTATTTCTCTCTCTCTCTCCCTTTCTATTTCTCTCTCTCTCTCCCTTTCTATTTCTCTCTCTCTCCCTTTCTATTTCTCTCTCTCTCCCTTTCTATTTCTCTCTCTCTCCCTTTCTATTTCTCTCTCTCTCCCTTTCTATTTCTCTCTCTCTCCCTTTCTATTTCTCTCTCTCTCCCTTTATTTTTCTCTCTCTCTCCCTTTCTATTTCTCTCTCTCTCCCTTTCTATTTCTCTCTCTCTCCCTTTCTATTTCTCTCTCTCTCCCTTTCTATTTCTCTCTCTCTCCCTTTCTATTTCTCTCTCTCTCCCTTTCTATTTCTCTCTCTCTCCCTTTCTATTTCTCTCTCTCTCCCTTTCTATTTCTCTCTCTCTCCCTTTCTATTTCTCTCTCTCTCCCTTTCTATTTCTCTCTCTCTCCCTTTCTATTTCTCTCTCTCTCCCTTTCTATTTCTCTCTCTCTCCCTTTCTATTTCTCTCTCTCTCCCTTTCTATTTCTCTCTCTCTCCCTTTCTATTTCTCTCTCTCTCCCTTTCTATTTCTCTCTCTCTCCCTTTCTATTTCTCTCTCTCTCCCTTTCTATTTCTCTCTCTCTCCCTTTCTATTTCTCTCTCTCTCCCTTTCTATTTCTCTCTCTCTCCCATTAACTTTCTCTCCCCTTCCATTTTTATTTCTTTATCTTTCCCTTTCTCGCTATCTCTCTCTTTTTGTCTCTATATTTCTTTTTCTCCCTCTATCTCTTTTTCTCTCTCTATCCCTTTTTCTCTCTCTATCCCTTTTTCTCTCTCTATCCCATTTTCTCTCTCTATCTCTTTTTCTCTCTCTATCTCTTTTTCTCTCTCTATCCCTTTTTCTCTCTCTTTCTTTATCTCCTTCTTTAAAGATAACGAATATTATATATTTAACACTTTGAAGGGTTTGCATTAGCAGGTTAAGGCAACGCCCATTCGTAGAGCAGTGGTCTATAATACTTAACAAATTTTTGGGGGTTCTACAAAGATAAAGTTGACGTAAATTTAGAAGCTTGTTGGCCTTCGCTTCGACTATCTTGGTTGGGAAAAATTCCGAAATATACCGGCAGCTAATGATCTTGTCTTTTTACCTTTAGTGTGTTGAGATACTTCAGGTCGAGAAATATATATTATGTTATGAGATGAACTCAAGGAAGTCTTAAGATCCAAAGAATCAATATCTGACCAGAGCGATCTTGTTTCACTCTTCTCGTTTGATTCAATACCTAACGAGCAGTTTTTTTATTCTATAATTGCTCAGCTTAACTCACCTCTCATCCTTGTCATATTTCGGTAATGCGCCCGGCTCCAACAGTACTGAAGATTCGCTCTGCGGCTCCGCAGAGATGCCCTGTGCACGCTGTCGCTGATGAGCCTGACCACTCTTACGCTGCTGCACACCAGCGCCCGGTGTTGTGGCCGTACTTGAGTGACGACTAAAGGGGAATACACTTTGAAATTTATCCAGATGTGATTTCAACTCAGCAATCTCTGTGTCCTTTTGCTGTATCGCACGCTGCATCTCTTGAATCTTCAGCTCTTTCGCTTGTATGATCTGCATGAAACGTTCCTCCTGCGGCGACGTTGGCACATAACTATTATTCAATATATTCATTGCCACCGAGGAGTCGAGCAGGGAATTTATGGTCGTCGTACCCGCAGGCGGCACATTGGCAGGTGCGGCGCCAGCGCCAGCTATGCATAATCCCTGCATTTGTTCGGTGAGAAGTTTTTGCTGTTGCACTGCACTACAATAATCACCGGCAGTGGGCTGTGTTGCGGCGTAGAGTTGTGGCGGCGTGCCGACCACAAAGGATGTGCCACCACCTTGTGCGACCGCGGCGGCGGCAGCAGCTGCTGCTACGGTGCCCGGTGCGTTTGTATTCAAGAAGAGACCTTGTGTTTGCGCCTGCAACTGTTGTAGCTGATGGTAACGATGCTGGAGCTGGAGTTCTTGCTGTTGCAGTGAGTTAATATGTTGTGCAGCAGATGGTGGTACGGTGCCGTATATGAAGGTTTGCGCGATAACGTCTTGTTGTAGCGGTAATGTGAGCGTACGTATCGCGCCCGTTTGACTGCCGAGTCCGGTTAGCGCGGGCAAACTATTGTTGTTCACCAGTCCCAGATCGGGTTGGAACTGAAAATTGGCGTTCGGTTCCTGCTGCATGTTGGCGGCACTTTTGCTTGTTTGCTCAACGTCGTCAGTCGCCCACTCTGCGCCACCCGCGCCTGCTAATGCTACGGTCGTTTCGGTCTCTTTGCCAGCGATAACGCCGTTGGCCGTGACGTGGTCGACGAGGTCGCTCTGACGCAGTACCGTATTACACGTTTGTGAATTGCTTTTGGTGGTGGTGGTGGTGGTTGTTGTTGCTGATGTTGCGGTGGCGTTCGGTTCGGGATGCGCAATGGAAATATTGCTTTCTCGCACCTCGTTTGCGTTTGTGGTTTCGTTTGTTTTTGTTTTCACTAGACAATTTCCACTGTTGCTGCTGGCTCTCAGACTGCTGCCAATGCCGCTGTCCGAGCTATTATTAAATTGACTATATTCTTCGTGCTCACAACTATTTGCTGGTGTTGTTGTGTCTGAAGCTTTTCCACTGATGACTGTTGACTTTTGGCGAAACGATTGCCGCTCTGCCGCACTGTCGATTGCCGCCAAAGAAGCTGTTGCGTTTGCTGGACCCTCCTCAGTGCTCGTCTTCGTCTTTATCGTCGTCGTCGTCGTAATTTGTGCTGTGTTCAATAAATCGGAGGCGTTAAGTCTTGCGTAAAGTACGCTCAGTTCGCCGCCGTTGGACGCTTGTCGTGCTGTTGTTGTTTGTGCGCGACCGTTATGACTTATTTTTGGTGGATCTAAAGCGTTTTGGGTATTCTTCTGGCTATTACTACCATTACCGTTACTCTTACTAATTATCCACGGTTGAGCATATGTCCGTGAGGTGGAATTCTGTTTACTGTTATTTGTGGGTGGCGGTTGTTTGGTCGTTATGGTGTTCAGTTTGCGCTGCTCATTATTACTCTGTAACCGATCGGGCGGTTGGGTGTGCGGTGAATCACTGCTATCACTGCTGTGCTCTGTAGTGGCTGGCCTCTTGGTAGCGAAGCACAGCCGGTCAAAACAAATTCGCATTCAAGCGATTTTTTTGACTCGCTGCGAGGGAAAGCAAAATGGACGTGACGATGGCAGCCCTACAGAAGAAGAAAAAAGAATAGAAAACCAGAAGATAATTAGAAAAATGAAATCAAATTGAAAATAAATATTAAAATAAATAAATATATATGTACATATGTATATATTTGTGTATGAAAGAAGAAAATGTAAATAAATTCGGCAATATTTGACGCTCAAAATATACAAACAAATTTCTGAAAGAAAATAAACGATAAATCAAAGAAAATATTAAGAAATACTATACTTAAAATAATAAGAAAGAAGAAGCATCAGCTGGCAGCACGGTAAATTACGCGGAAGCTTCTGCGACCGTTAATGAGTGAATAAATACTCGTCAGCAGATTGCAGCGAGTGGAAAGGATTGCAAAAAAGAGAAATATTAAAATAAATAAACCAAAATTGAATTGAAAAATAAATAAAGACTGATAAACTTAAAAATACAATAATTAAATATTTTTTTTTTTATTTAAGAAATTAAAAAAAAAAATATTAAAAAGCAATGACGAAAAATAAAACGGCTTTCATGCCCAGTGAATGAACTCAAAAAGATATTCATTTTCGTATTGGCGTCAGCTTTGTGTGGAAATGTGCGATTAATCAGCTAATTAATGTGTTGCAAAATTATGAATAAATAAAAATTAATTAAAAATTGATAATGAAAATTTATTGGACAAATTTTTTATTAATTAGGAAAAGATATCGTATGCAGTTACTAAAGTCCCACTCCTGCGCCGTCGCGATCTCGTCGCACACACTGGAAGCCTGAGCGACTCAGAGCAATATGGTGACCAATCGATGTACATCATTGGAATACGTTCAAAATAGAGAGTTAGAGACAAAGACAGAGAGAGAGCGAGCGAGAGAGAGAGAGAGAGAGGGAGGGAGGGAGAGAGAGGGAGAAAAAGAGAGGGGGAGAGAGAGACAGAGAGAGGGAGAAAGAGAGAGGGGGAGAAAGAGATAGAGGGAGAGAGACAGAGAGAGAGAGAGAGAGAGAGAGAGAGAGAGAGAGAACTTCGAACTTCTAAACTTCTAAACTTCTGGGCATGAAGATTTCACAAGAGTTTTATTGATGCGTTTGCTTATGAGAAATGCGATGTGATGAATGCGAGCGCCGGCTTTAAAAGGCAAAAGCTTCAATTTTGATTAAGATTAGTGCAAAATCCTTTAGAATACGATTTACGATAACAGAAGCCACAAAATGTGTGGCTATAAGCCAATTAATCAGTGTATACTCAGATAGCCCAGCTGGCATCAGATCTGTTTAATGAAATTACACCACATCAAAAGAGGCGCTAAAAAGTAGACGCACTTTAAACAAGTCTTCAACTAGATGCAATACGACCGGTCAGGCTAATTCTGGTTTTCACCAAAACTGCCAAAAACCCGCGACGTGATTATACAGGTTTATCCAGTCCTGGACGCTAAAGATAAAGGGATCTAATCGGCCTAGACCGCTTAACCATTAATTCACCAAAGAGCATACTAATGTCGAATGAAACTTCCAATGATTTTTGTCGTAGCTGGGGGGAGGAAAAAGACGAAGACTCTAACCTCAGTCAGTGTGAAGCCCTGAGCACCAGACGATCTAAAAATCTAGGACATAACTTCTTTGAGTGAAGAAAAAGACAATATGTCACAAGATTTCTTCAATAAGCTCTATGAGCAAACTTATGCTAGGCTACTTGTTTAGCCTTCACCATGAAGCTACCGAAATGAGTTTGTAGTACCAGTATGTGGCATAAGAGAATTCGTCCAGCTACGTTGCTGTCACCAGATCGAAGATCTCTTAACCAACTCGGCAATGTGGTTATAGATGAAAAACCTGTCTCCAGTGTTCTAGATGAAAGAACGCTCCACTTGGACCACAAGCGCAACCTGCTTCTGTGCAGTGAAGAACGCCCTTCAACAAACCCGAGAATACTATAAAGATCAATTGGAACAGACAACAATCACTATGCGTACCGCCGCTACAAAACCCATTGTGTATGAAGAGCTGCCAGTCTTGGGAGGAGAAATCATTTAAACAGTGCATTAGAAACAATTGGAGGATAAATTCATCCCACTAGTCTGCGCCCCAAAAGCATATTTAAGGTGTAACTGTGTGAACTAGTATAGTCTTCTTGAAAAAATTCCAGTTTAAAAGCGTTGTTAATGTTACTATCGGTTTTTCTTGAGGTTATTCAAGGGCTCTTATGTCGCTGTCTATGAAGTCGTAGACTGCTACGGTTGACTTTGCAAAATATCGATAAAAAAATAATGTTATCTACATTTAGGCATCAAATGTATTAGCTAGCCAAGACATACACTATTTTCAGAAAAATAGTAACTCTATGATGCCGGTGATTTCCCTTTTAGGCGTTTACATTAAGAGCTTTTAAGTTAGACATTAACAGGTGGGCAGGCTCAATAAACTATAAAATAGTAGAACCAATCTTTTGTGAATTTCAAAAATGAAAACTTTCATATTTCTTCTCAAAGCAGAGCTTAGAATTAAAAGAAAGTAACTGAAAGCACTTTTCAACCGATATAAATGGGCTCTGGTTGGTAATAGTCTTTTGGATGTGCCATACTTTCATACATTCGAATTTATCTTCTTTAAAAGTCGACTAGTAACAGAGATGTAGGGAAGGGAAGTGGCATTAGACCTAGCCCTTGCGAGGAATATGGACAAAACCAGCTCTTATTGCACCATAGAACAATTGGTAGTAAAGACCGCCAACTCTCTACGGTTTCACTTTAAGATTTTAGGTTACTATGAGGCAATAGGTGGCCACGAAAGCCGAGGAGTAAGTAGAGTGTACCGTCATTCGGAAGGCTCGGGCTCAAATCCTGGAAGGACCATCACAACGCGAATTTGATGAGGAGCTCGGCCGAAAACCGCTTCAGCGTTTACAAAGCGCCCATTATGTATATATGAGGCACTTGGAATTTAGGTAACTCATAGAGAAAGCCATGAACTAGCTGTGTAGTTACAAATTTTTCCAGAAGTTCTCAGAATGATAAGAAAATGATATGCAAATATGTAAATTTCAATGCGAAAAATGTCATAGAAAAGAGAAAAAAAAAAACAAAACAATAAAATTACTCCCAGCGTTATATGGAGTATATAAATAGCACATTAACGGAAATTTTTCCACGAAACACGAACAAAATTACAACGATTAATCAGCATTGTTATTGAAAATTAAAAATAGTCAACTAAATAAATGCAACTCCAATTAAAATGCCTACGCTTAATATGTATGAGTGAACAACACATTGTTTGCCTAGGCAGTGTGACTGGGGCAACAGCACCAGACAAGCGCAGACAGGCAGGCAGCCGACAAAGGAGGATCGGATCGCGAACGAGCTGATAATAATAATACTTGTAGTATGTACGTGAGTTCCAGAATAGGCCAAACACAGCAGAATGACGCTTAATTATGCATAAGGTAGGTATGAGTTGGTTGTTGGGCACGAGTAAAAGTGTGTGTGTGTGTGTGTGTGTGTTGGAAGATAGATAGAAAGAAAGACAGACAGACACAGACATTGAAGTAATTGCTCGCTCCAGTTATTATGTATGCAGGTATGTTGTACATTTATCGTAAAATTATACACAGTTAACTGCCTAACTGAATGAATGACTGGATGACTGTTTGATTGCAAAAATAATGAACAAAACAATAAAAACAATGAATATAAAAATAAAAAAGTTATATTAACAAAAAAGAAAGCACACAACTTCTATGCGACTTTTTCTCACTTTTTTTTGTCAGAGACACAATAACTTCCTACATTTCAATGTCAGTGTAATGTTTTTTTTTTTTTTTGTTGGTGAATTACAGCAATAAACTAAAACTGGAGGTGCACACAATTGAAACGCCTGCCAATGGGGCGTTTTTGGTTTGGTGGCTCGCATTTATATCAACCCATAGGCAAAAAAAAAAAAACATAAATAGATATATATAAAAAAAATAAAATTAAAAAATAAAATAATATACAGTAAATTAAAATCTTTAAATATAAAACCAAAAAATTAAAAATTAAATCAAACAATAGTTGTATAAAACAAAATAAAGGTGAATAGAATGAATTTAAAAAATATAATAAAATATGGTAAATAAAATTAAAAAATGAAAGAATGGAAGAAAATAAAGTAAGAAAAAGTTGTATAGAATAAATTTAAGTGAGATTGAAATAAAATTAAATAAAATAAAACCAAAAAAAAAGAAGAAAATTAAATAAAATAAAATAAAATAAATTAAAATAAAATAAAACAAATTAAAATAAAATAAAACAAAATAAATTAATATAAAAAAAAATGAAATAAAACAAAATTAAATAATAAAAATTATATTAAACAAAATAAAAAAATTAAATAAAATCCATTAAAATAAAATAAAGTAAAAATTAGTAAAATTAAATTAAAAGATTGAAAAATAAAAGAGAATAATTAAAATAATTTTTGTTATATAAAACAGAATAAAGAGAGAGAAATGAAATAAAATTAAATTTAATAAAACAAATTATAATAAAAATAAATAAAATAATATAAAACGAAATAAAATCAATTAAAATAAAATAAATAAAAAAATTAAATAATACTTATGAAACAAAAATAAAAATAAATTAAAATGCATTTAGCAAAAATAAAAAACATTAAATTAAATAAGGAAATGAAAAAAAATTAAAATTAAATAACATAAACTAATAAAAAATAAGATAAATAAATAAATAATAATAAAAGTAAAATAAATAAATAAAGTGAAAGAAAATAAAATAAATAATCAAGTTCAATTAAATAAACTTTTGAAATTGTTAAATTGGAATACAATAAAATCGAAAAATTACAGAATAATAAAAATAACAAAAAAAAATTAAATATAATGAATTAAAATAAAATAAATAAATATACAATAAAATATAATAAAATTAAATTGAATAATAAAAATAAAATAATATAAATAAACAAAAAAAAAATCAAAATAAAAAAAGTATAATAAACAAAATAAAACCAAATAAAATAATATAAAGTAAA